ATATTTAAGTCACAAGTTAAATATTTATCTTGTTATCTAAATATTTAATTTGTAAGTTAAATATTTACTTTATAAACTATGACATTTATAAATGTATGAATCACATGGTGAAAAACTGACTTTGAAAAATATATCTGTTCTTTTTTCTCATAAAAGGCTAAATAAAACAAAAATATTGGTGGTAATTTTTAACTGTGTAACTTTACAAACGGCACCTCATAGTTAGTGCAGTAAATGCCAGCTGGAGGAGCTGGTAGTGAGGGAGCAGCAGCAAAATGACTTCTGAGCTTAGTTCAATTGGAGAAGGAAAAAAGCAGAAAACACAACAAGGTAAAGAGTAAGTGCATATTGGTCAGACCGGTCTATGAAGAAGAAAATGACAAGAAAGAAATCTAAAAGCTGCAGAGAAGGAGAGATAATTAAAGAGGATAGATTCTTTCTCATAACAAAATTAAATAGAAAACATAAAATTTCCCAGAAGACTAAACAAGACAGTGCATCAATCAAAAGAAGCCAAAATGTTGCCCTAACTTGACAAATAATTACTTAAAAGTGATAAAGGAATACCCAATGATTATAAAAAGACAAAAAGAGCTGCTGTGAAACTAAAGTAAATGTTTAATAACCACAAAGGTACAACAGTGTGACAAAGTGTTTCAAAATAATGATGTTAATCACCTTTACAGGATTTGTTTTGTCTCACAGCCTCAGTGAGTTGGTGTCATTTTCATGTCAGAACCTGTCCTGACTGGCTGACAGTCTCAGCTGCTGAGGAGAAACAGAGGCGTGTTACGGACAGGGAGTGGGCCAAAGCAACAAGGCTTCACTGAAAAGTGGAGAGAGTAATATTAGACCGACTCTGAGTCATGAGAGATTTGTTCCCCCTCCGCATTCCTCCACCCAGCTGCCTCTGTCGGTTCAGAAATGATCCCTGTTACCCCACCTAAAAATACACATCTGCCCTCACCGAGGAAAATCCCTGGGCTTTGACATACACACACACACACACACACACAGACACACACCGACAGACTGTAGCTGGTTGGCATCTCTTCTGTGGATGAAACAGACTTTTCCTGGTGATGGTGGTGATGTAGCTGGAGCTCAGGAAGTGACCTGAGTCATGAACATAAACTGAACAGTTTTCAGTCTGAGACAGATGGAAGCAGAGAAACTGTGTTTTCTGTGAAAATGTGGTGTGAAGGCTGAGTTGTTAAAACT